TTTGATTTATTGTAGAGATGAGGTCTCTCCAAGTTGCCCAGGCGGGTCTTGAACCCACGGACTCAGGCAATCCACTCACCTCAGCCTCCCAAAGGCGGGGGATTACAGGCTGAGCCTCCGAGTCCGGCTGATAACTCTGTTTTCAAAGATGTTTCTGTTGCCAAACATGGACACTGAACTTTTTTTTTTTTGAGTTGGAGTCTCACTCTGTCGCCCAGGCTGGAGTAACATGGCACACTCACGGCCACCCCAGCATCCACCTGCTGCTGGGCTCTGGCAATCCTTCCGTCTCAGCCTTCCAAGTAGCCGGAACTACAGGCGCTACCATGCCAGACTAATTTTTTGATTTATTGTAGAGACAAGGTCTCGCCAAGTTGCCCAGGCTTATCTCAAACCTGCAGGCTCAGGCAATCCACTCGTCTCGGTCTCCCAAAGAGCTGGGATTACAGGCTGAGCCATCGAGCCTAGCCCGGCACTGAACTTTTAGGACAAGAGGTCAATAGAGTCCTACCAGGGAAGGCAGAATGTGAAATATTGCTGAAGGCAGGGTGAAATAAGAAGAAAAAGAACTTCTAATAAAGCAGAATTTGGAATTTGAAATATACTGATTGCTGAAATGAATTTGCCAAAAGCCAGCATGGGCATGGAATTGTGGAATGGGACAAGAGCAGTAGAGTAGGGGTGTGACCGTATGAATTTGAATCCTTCACTGGACAAGTCTTTCAATCTCAGGTTGAAAAATAGGAATTTTAATAATGCTTCCCACCTTCTTTTGAAGATAAGTAAAATACTGTGGGTAAAAAGACTGTGTAAACTGTGGTTGTACAGATGGTCCAGTTATTGATCATATCCCTAGTCCCTCTGCTACTAAAGATCTCAGGTAGGTCACTGGGCCTCTCTCAGGGTGAGATGGGCCTCCCATCTGTTAAATGAGGTTGACCTGGATGATTATTAAGGTCCCTCCTGTTTCTCGGCATGTCAGATATTCTTGAAGATCTGGTAGGTGACTTTCCTTGTCTAACACCAAGCTGCCTTTGGGCCTCATCTTGCCTTCCTTTCTTTCTTCCTCCTTCCATAGACAGCTTCATGCAGGATACAGACATTATTTTGCTGTAGTTTCTGCTCTCAAAGAACATTTGTTTGTTTTGAGTCAGAGTCTCACTCTCTTGCCCAGGCTAGAGTGCAGTGGCATGATCATAGCTCATTGCAGCCTTGACCTCCTGGGTGTCTGTTTTTCCCTCCATCTGGAATGCCTCCTTAGTATATTTGTCTCCACATTAGTGGTATACACTGTTGAAGCCCAATTCAGTGCCACCTCCTTTGTTATGCTGTCGTAGGGTAATTGAAGACCCGTTGGTGGTGACTAGGTTCTTAGTGCCATGAACACAGAATTGGACAAGACAGACAGAGAAAGTAAAGGCAAAGAGTAGTTTATTTAACAAAAGCAAAAAGTGTACACTCTGAAGAGAGGAGAAGAGAGGAGCAGGCTGAGCTGAGAGGCACACAAGAGCAGTGAGTTAAACAAAGCTGGGAACTTTTATACTCTTCTTGGTGGGAAAGTGGGCTCTATTTTGCAAAGCATGCAAAAAGATAACATTTTGACAAACAGTTTCTGGGATTAAATGCCCTTCCTGGAGGAAGGGTAACATCTCAGGTTATCGCGTATGTCTCTACCCACCACCCCATAATTTTAATGGTATGGATGAGATGCAGTCTGTATGCATTAGCTTTAACTAACTCTTTTGCATGGATAGGTTATGGAGAGTTCAAGGAAGTTCTTTTTGCACATGTGCCACACCTGAGATATAAGTATTATGGCCTTTTTATCTTGTCTCTGGAAGGAATGCCACTTATGTTGTCCCTGGAGGTTGATTAACATTTCAGTTTCAGCAGGGAAAGTTGCTAATGTCCTGTCCTTGGAGGTTGATTGACATTGCAGTTTTATGGCTTTTCTTTTCCCATGGAGTCTTGTCTGTTGAGACTCCTCTTTCAGACTCCACCCTATCTCCTGCCTCAGTGCCATTTCTGATATTCTCAGTGCCAGTGGGATATAATTACTCCTGACTCAAGTTCCAAAGTAAGCTTAGTACTGCTCACACGGTGCCGGCCATTCTCTCCCTTGTATTATGGTTATGTGTGTGCTTGTTTAACCTCTGCTCTAGACTTTTCACTACTTATCTGTTTGTCTTAGATAGCTGCTCAACACAGGCCTCATTCTAAGGAGATGCACCGTGTTTGCTGAATAGATGAATGATTGGTGTACCTTGGAGTAGAGCCGGAGTATTGAGTGCCAGGCAACTTTTACACTTTTAAGGACAGCACTAAAGGATTTGTAGATAGCTATTTTGTCTCTGAAAGTCCATTTTTCAAGTAAAAACATGAAACCCTTCAAATGTTCTTTATGCGATGTGCTTCCTAGTGAAGGACTTCCTTTGGATTTTGTCAGTTTGTCAGTTTGTCGGGGACCCTCATAAAATATGAAGTTTATACGCGAACACAGTATCCAGATATGTTTTTACCCCTGTGGGACACACAAAGGACCATCATCTTCCCTTTACTCTGGAAAAGAGTTGTTTCATTTTCCTTCCCCATCCCTTTCAGTTCTTGAACTCTCTGCCACTTTTGCAGTACTATTTATCTATTTATTTATTTATTGAGTCGGAGTCTTACTCTGTCGCCCAGACTGGAGTGCAGTGGCCGCTTCCGGCCACCGCAGCCTCGACCTGGTGGGCTGCGGCGATCCTTCT